CCCCTGGACATTTACCCCTTCCCCCATGATCTGCGCACATGGGTGCGTGAGAGTCCACCACATCAACCCCAACATATTTGTGGCTGAGGTGCGAAAATTTTAGGAATATGGACCTCTGGGTGCCCGGAAATTGCACTCTCATGTACCTTTACAATAATTCATATCAACAATATAATAAAAGAATTATTTTTCTTCTTACAACTTAGGTAGGGGGGGTGCAATTGCACCCTCTGCATCCACCCCAGTCCCCAAAATTCCAATAGGTCCACTTTTTAAAACCTATTATTTCACAAAATTGTTCCTAATTATTGCAAAATACTATAGTATGCTCTTATACACATCTAGATGTGTATAAGAGACAGCTGCAGTGTTGTCCTGTAGCCCCCCCTCGTCGGGGAAGCCTAAACCCCGTCGGGGAAGCCTAACCCCCCCGTTGGAGAGGATGAGTACATTCCGTCGGGGTAATAACAAAAATGTTAAAAAAATATATTTTTACATCTGTTGGTTTAGCAACCATATCGCCTTCATTGACCTATCTGTGTACTGTTTGTGTTAACTTTTCATCACAATAATACCGTAACAAAAACAATAATACAGTAATACTAATAATAATAATAATAATAATATAATAATAACATAAATTCACGTGCCGTTTTATTATAAGTTATCCAACTACCGTATATATTACTTTTCACATTGAGCCCATGAAACAGATATTCTTCTTCATAATGAATTAATTACTTTCGAACTAAGTCAGCAGAACAGTGTCAATACAGCGTTTTGACACTATTTTTTAAAATGTCAGTGCATATTAATGTTATATATTGAAATAAAAAAAATAATACAATTGCCCCTCTCCCCGATTGAAAAATTCTGAATCCGCCCCTGTTCAATAGGACAGATTAAAAATGGTTTACGTTCTACTATGACAAATGCTTGTTTGGATATCCCCATGATGCTTGGAATACATCTTGATCGGGGAAGCAACCTCGTGGTTTCAGGTTTCAGGCAAAATTTCAAATTTTATAGTTCCACTTTGAATGCAATGCGCATTGCATTTTCATTAATAACTTTTCTAACCGTTGTCACAAAATTTGTTGTAACTTATCAGCTACAATAATTGCAGATTGATCCATTATGAACAATTTTATCTCTAGGCCTACAGATGTAAAAGGCATAAAAATGTTCTTTTGCAGGTCCCTATAGCACCCTAATGAATGAAAATTTAAATAGAATATATATTTACAAATTATGGGTTCCAGAAATCCTATTATATAAGGCTCTTAAAATGCAACTTTGTCTGAGGGTCTGGGGACTTCACCCCCAAACCCCAACTCTACCCCTAGGCCATCAAAAATTATGCCTACGGGCCTGTAAAGTGTTATTTTACAGTTATTATTGCAAAAACAATACGATAAAAATCAAGATAATAATACAAATTATTGACTGATTGATTGACTTTATTTGGAACTCATACAATATTAAACAATATAACAACACAATAAAACAGAATTCAGAGCATAACACAAAAAAGTTAAAACTTATTTCCATTGTGGTCCTTACACAAAACACTTGGCAATGAATGCATCAATTGGTTGGTTTCACAAAATGATTGATTAATTATTAAATGCAACTGATTGCACCAACTGATTACATAATTGAATGTACCATTTGATTGATTGGACTAACTGATGACTGTACCGATTGATTTTGCCAACTGATATATTGATCAAATGCACCAATTGATTGTTTGTACCAACTGATTAACAAAATGTTTAAATATACCAATTGATTAATTGTACAACTGATTGATTGATTGCATCAACAGATTGATTGAAATTCTCAATTATATTGTAACAATTGACTGCTGTGTGTGATTTGATTTAGTGAATGGACTAAATGAATGATTGAAACAATTGATGAATGAAGCATTAGCAATTGCTCGATAGATCCTATCGTACCCTTGTTATATACTTTATGCCAATAACAGAAACTTTGTCATTAATGTATCACCAAAGCATTTGTTGGTAATAAATTAAATCAATATATATTTGTGTTATAGAAAATTCAGGCCATCCAAAACATTGCAAAGAATATAGCTGCTCATGAGAAGAAGTACAATAAGGAATTTGATGTTAAAGATTATGTTGAGCAATTTAAACCAGGATTTGCAGATGTGGTATTTGAATGGGCTAGCGGTAAAGTAAGTATCAATTCTCAGTACATAGAGGTTTCCAAAATGTGTGCTCTATTAAAGTTGTCCATTATTAATACATATTGTATCCATTCAAGATGAATTTATTGTCAATAAATTTATGGATTGACAAAGAATTAATTTTGCAAGTACTGTATTGTCAATTTTTGGCCCTAACAGTTAAATATTTAAAATTCTCACATTATTTTTATCCGACAAGTAGAAGAACATAACATTTCAATTAAAAGTTAAGTTAAATTACTTTAATTGTAATAGACCTGTGTATTAGTATTTATCAAAAGGACCCTTAAATAACATAAAGGTATTCTGTTACAGGAATTTGAAGATATCATAAAGTTAGCTGGCAGAATTACTGAAGGTGAAATTGTTAATAAGATCCAACAACTGATTAACACTTGTCGTGAGATGCACGATGCCTGTATCATAATTAACAGAAACTCAAGATTTGCAGTAATGGTGAATGCGGCATCAAATCTGTTAAAACGGGACATTTTCACTGTACCAAGCCTTTATATAGCCTGAGGGCCTGCACCAAAATACACAGCTGTGGTTGAACACGACTCCCAAAGAAGATAACTTTGTGGGTGTAACCAAGACGATACAGGAAGAATAATTTACAGTAGTACTGTTTATTGTATAGTTTTGTTCATCAAATATTTTGATAGAATTTTAAGGAAATTGGTGAAGGGAGGCAAGAATTTCATGCAGCCATATTTAAAATATAAGCAGTCACAAATCCAGAGATTGCCAAAAGGGGGTGGTGAAAGTGGGCCGATCGAGATAACACTACCCTAGGGGGTCTGCGACATTTTTGTGTTGTAGACGCCCGAAAATAATCTCTGAGGCACTTTGGGTGATCCATTTTTTCTTTTTGATTGTTTGTTTCTTTTCTTTTTTTTACATTAGCACACCTACCCCCTCTCCCCCCCCCCACAAAAAAAAAAAAAATCCGCTCCTGATAAGAAAATATTAATGACATTAGATTTTTCATTTCCTGGTCCATACAGCCCCTGTTGTGTCCACAACACTTTGAGACTTAAGTATAAAGCGCTATATAATCTAACTACATTACATTTTATCTATTTCAGTATTTAATTCATAATATTTAATATTTGTATAAAGAAAGTAGGTGCAATGATTATTATAGATTTTTTTTAATGAAAAACCATTACTTACCGTATTGTCTCACTATAAGACAAGGTTAAAAATAGCAAATTACAATCGAAAAACAGGGGGTTGCTTTGTACATGCAACACATGCACATATTTTATGCACATGCTTGCTTATGTGTGGATCATTAAGCCCATGGCTGTGCTGAGGTAAGACCATTATGAATATGGCACCTCTAGATGCCCAGAAATGGCTCTAGATGGTCAGACTTAAATTTTAATATTATTTTCTTTTCTAACCAATTTTTTTGTGTAATTTTGAGATATTTAGGGGGCCTGGGCTGGCTTCCTCCACCCCCTTAAATCATGAGAAAATTGATAATAAAGCTGTGAAAACATACCAAATTATGAAATTGCGGAGATGGGTTAACTAGAATATTTGGACCCCTGGCATAATAACCTTTGAGCTTTGCCAGACTTCTAAGTGGAGTGTATAAGAGAATAATCAGGTGAGTCGAATGGCCGAGCGGTTAGCAGGGGCGCCACAAGCTATAGCCATAATATCGGCGCTGGTTCGAACGGCACGCTCGCCTATGGTTCTGGTGGTAGAAGAAGTCTTCTCGGATAAGGACTATAAACCGTAGGCCCAGTGTATACAATGGCTCCTGTGCACTATAAAGAACCCAGTACATCCTTCGAACTGGAACAGACAGCCCCTGTGGTGGACGACGAGAGTTGCTGATACCGGCTTACCGGGTAGCACAGACACGAAGGGACCCTTAGAGGCAAAGAAAATCATTGATTGAGTTTCTAGTCCACATTTCAAGCGCCCTGGGCATCTTACATTAGATGGATTTGTGCGCTATATAAAACTACACTATTATTATTATTATTATTATTATTATTAATCACCGAGTACTGAGTTTGATTGTACAAAAAGTGCAGTTCCACTGATATCCTTAATCTCATTTAGTTCATGTTCCTTGGGCAGACAAGAGAGATTCTTATTTAGTTGTCTATGTAAAGGTACTATGCTTTAAGTTAAGCACATTGAGAATAAGCCCTCATCTAATTATGTTTATAAATTATTAAATCTGGTCATAAAAAAATAATCACCAGTATTCTTTCATAACATGTGGATAAGTTTGAACAATTACTTGGTTTACTGTATTTATCATTATTTCTTTGCATTTTAGTTAAGTAAAACATGTTTTTTGGAAATAATATTCCAGAATATTTAACAAGAATTATGACAAGAGGAAAATACTGTTAACAAATAATTATACCTTTATTATTACTTAGACATAGCCATTTAAATGTTGTATTACCGAGTGAATATCAAAAATTAAGCTTATCTTATAAAAGGAGCATTAAAATGGAATAATGTACAGCAACACTTTGTTCATTTAAACATAAGATTAATATGTTATTTTGATTTAATTTTATAATTATTTTATAATTCAATTTATATTGAATTTTTCATTTTGTATAATTTTGAATAGTATTTATGTGTATGGCTCCAAGGAAGAACAGCCCTGTGTTGATCTGGGCCATGTTATAAATAAAGTTAAACACAAATTTCATATATGTATTTTATATGATGATAATAAAAATAAAAATAATAATAATAATAATTACGCGACAGTGCATGGATGTATGCAAGTGTGGGTCGGTAGGGTCGTACGACCCTACCGACCGACACAAAATATAAATTAAATATAATTACCGTAAAAAATGTAGATATTTTATTTTATTTAATCGTTCATTATACTGTATGCACTCTCAGTACCTCATGTACTGATTTTCAAAGTGGTACAGTGACTCTACATCTGCAGTGTAAATAGAATAAAGTAAAATATCATTTTAAAACATTATTTGAACTGATTTTGGAATGAAAAAGTTGACGTCTCTTCAAAATTAATTTTTAATTTGTGTGTCATTCCAGCTTTTGGATGATTGATATAAAAAAGTTCTTTTTTCCTGTCTGATATTATACATTGGAAGAACCAGGCTGTTATGGGTTTGGCTATGTGTGCCTTTAGAATGGGTAGTATTGTTAAAGGTAAATTTTGAAGATAAATTTAAGGGGCATATCCTTTTAAGCATTTGAAAGTCATAAGAAGTAATTTTTCATTCCAAATCACATTAAGTCTACTCCATCCAAGGGCACCTAAAATATAATCAACAGGAGTCTTATTATCAACAGAAAGTGAAATCCTACCTAGTCTATTCATAAGAACTTGTAAACAGTTAGAATTTTGAACGTTTCAATTAGACCAGACCTTTTCATTATCAGTTTATTATATTGAATTGTAGTTTGTATAATTAGCTAAATTTGTGGCTTTTAGTTGTTAAAATGATGATTTTCTTCTTTTTCATTCACTTGATCCTGTTTCTTTCCAAAAAGATTTAGACACTAACTTAAATAATATTACAAAATGAGTTAATATTTAAATAATAATAAAACTAAGTTTATGCTTTTTGGTACATCTATAAAACTTGATAGATTTAGCAATGTCACATTAGTGTATGATAACCATATTATTGAAAAAGTTGATCAATTCAAATATCTTGGTATTGTTTTTGACAGTCATTTGAATTGGAATCATCATATTGAGTATCTTTCTTCAAAAATTGCAAAATAAATGAGGCACAATAATGCCTCATTTCATTATTTAGTCAAATTTTGTCAAACTGTAATAACACTCTTAAGTCAAAGATGCAAAAGCAGCAAAATTTATTTGCAAGAATTTTATTATCAGCCCATCTCCAGTGGATGATATGATGATTACTCATCATAATTTCTTTTATGATGATCAATGGACAAACCAGATTTTACTTAAATAATATGGTGAGCCGTACTAGTCTTAACAGTAATCAAACAATAAGAAAATGGTAGCACTTTATAGACTAGTTGAAAAATGTATTGTCACAAGCTTTCGTGTACGCAGTACACTTCTTCAGGTGAATGATAAGAGGAGCAACATGCAATCGAATATAAAAGGTCTGAAACAAAAGGCAAGAAATAAAAACAATGGAGGTATTAACATAACAATGAAATCATTCCCTGTAGTGGGCAAGAAAGCCATAGTCTTTGTTTAAACCCAAGTTAACACAGTCAAGTTGCTTAATTAATTTCTGTTCACAAATTTCCCTATCTAGATTGTTCTTAAAATTACCCTTCTTAACTACAGCAACTCTAAGATTATTGATAGTGTGACCTGTGGAAGTGAAATGTTCAGCTACAGGTTTCTTAATTAACTTATATCTAATGTCAAACTTGTGACCATTAATCCTATTTCTGATAGTTTGGCCAGTTTGACCAATATAAACAGCATTGGGGTATATATTGCACGTAATGGCATAGATGATGTTAGTGGATGAGCAAGTAAAGTGTCCTTTGATGTTGATGATATAGCCATTAGGTCCAAGTATGTGACTCTCAGAATGAATAAGATGCCTATCAATGGCACTTTTCCTTGTCACAGCACTAAATGTGAGCTTTGCCATCCCCTGGTTAAGGAAAGCTTAAAAAAATAAATGATGTGAATGTTTTCAGTTCATTTTATGTGAATTTAATGAGGCACTACATGAACCCATAGGATGTAAGAGGACTGATCATGATGATGATGATGATGATGACAATGACAGTGGTGATTATGATGTAATCATTATATGCTAATTTAAAAGTTGAGTATTCACTTACAGTTTATTTAATAAAAAAAGCTTTAAAAAATAAACTCACAATACGACCTTGGTATAGTACAGTGAAACAATGTCAAACATTCCATCATAATTGTGTTTTAGTGGTAAAGAAATAGTTTTTTATGTATATATTGCTTAATAGTATTGTCTTCTTGAATGATGTGATGTTAATGTAGAAGTGTATATGTTAATTTAAAATTTGAGTATTCACTTACATTTTATTTAATAAAAAAAACTTTAAAAATTAAACTCACAATACGACCTTGGTATAGTACAGTGAAACAATGTCAAACATTCCATCCTAATTGTGTTTTAGTGGTAAAGAAATAGTTCTTGATGTATATATTGCTTAATAGTATTGTCTTCTTGAATACTGTGATGTTAATGTAGAAGTGTATATGTTAATTTTAAATTTGAGTATTCACTTACATTTTATTTAATAAAAAAAGCTTTAAAAAATAAACTCACAATACGACCTTGGTATAGTACAGTGAAACAATGTTAAACATTGCATTATAATTGTGTTTTAGTGGTAAAGAAATAGTTCTTTATGTATATATTGCTTAATAGTATTGTCTTCTTGAATGATGTGAGTATTTTAGTGGTAAAGAAATAGTTCTTTATGTATATATTGCTTAATAGTATTGTCTTCTTGAATGATGTGATGTTAATGTAGAAGTTTAAAATTGTTCTTTGGAAATATTAATCAAGTATTGATGATTGTAATTAGAAACCTTGCACTATGTATTGTCAAAAGACAAATTTTAAACATGTATTTTGTATGATGAGCAATTATATTTTTTAGAACATACATATTTAGATCGGTGGCACTCAAAAATCAGTTGGTGTGTTCAAAGTGAAATAAAAAACAAACAAATTAAAATTCTTAACTAATAAATAGAAAAAAAAATGACAATATTATTAAACAAAACATGTATTAAATCTTGAATATTGATTCTTATTACCTTTCATATGATAAGGTATTAAAATATAAATTTAATATATTTAAGAGAATGTAGATATAGGCAAGTC